ATAAATAGTCCAGTCATCGGTTCAGCACCACCAATACAGACATTACTGTCAGTCTGAATGTGGTTCCCCCACTCTAACCATCCAATTATTCAAACTAGTAATCATATAATCAAGGCATAAGCCCTACGCACCATTGGATAAAGAATACTGAGATAAACTGAAACAAAACCACACCTGTTCAGCACTAGATCAGAACTTGCTAGGGTTTCATTGCACCATCAACCCCCTCCTTCGATTAGGGTTTCAGCAGACCAGCACCATCCCACGGCCAGACACAGCTAGAGTTTCTAGTAACTGTCGCAAGGAGCCACTAGGGTTTCATCAGAAGCACAGCCGCAGGACTTACTAGGGTTTCTGCAAGCACAGCCGCCGGAGAAAATTGAAAACACAAGCCGCCGCTAGGGTTTTTTTTTTCTTCTTCTGAAACAAAAGTAGCCACGTCCAATCCCTTTTGGAAAGACTGATGCTAGGATCGTAGGTCTTCTCCAGTCCAGAAATTCCGCTTTGATACCATGTTGTTGCTTGTGATGATTGAGAGAGAGAGAGAGAGGAGAGGTACGGATGATAGAAAGAAAAGCAAACTCAGTACTGGCAGCCGCCAGTCTTCTATTTATATTAATCTTTATAAAAAAGGCAAAATTACAAGTATGCCCCTGGTGGCATATCCTAGGATAAGAAAATAAGAAAAGAAAGAAAGAAAGGACTAGTAGCTGAAACTGTCCCACTAACATCAGTTACAAGGAACACTCAAGCCTTACAACAATTTTATTAATATCAGAAGAATCAAGCATTCACTACAAGCAGCCCTTTGAGAGGCATGAGCTGTGACCTCTTCCAACAAAGAGATTAAAAATAAAAACTGAAAATACAAACCACAGCTGGTCCCTATTTGCCCCTTGCTTAACTAAGTAATCAGTCATAGTATTAGCTGATCTCCCCATCCATTGTAATCTCAAGTTCATGTTTCTTGTTTTTTTTTTTTTTTGATGAATAAGTTCATGTTTCTTGTTAACCACTTGAATTTCTTGAATTCATCCCTGTAGCACCCAGAGATACACTCCGGGTCCTTCAACCATCCCATCACCACCTTAGAATCACCTTCAATAATCAAGTTTTCTACTCTTAGCTCATTTGCAATCCGGGTTCCTTGTATAGCAGCAAGCAATTCAGCCCTTATAGTATCTCCTACTCCCACAGCACCTGAGAATAAGACCATAACAATATCATCCTTATCTCTAATAACCCCTCAAATTCCAGAGGGACCTGGGTTGCCTTGACTTCTCCCATCAAAATTCAACTTCAAATATCCTCCAAGAGGTGTCCAAATCAGATTTATCCTGTCCTTCTTAGAGGAACTACTTGCCACCATTAACAAATTCCTCCAAATATCATCAAAGGAGAATTTGTGAAAAGTGTCCAAGGTCTTTAGCCAATGTATTACCCAAGTCATCACACAGTCCTAAATTTCCCATCTGCTTCTCTCCTCTTGAAAAGTTTTTGCATTTCTTTCATCCCAAAGGGTCCAAATTACTGCTGCTTTATTAAACTGTCAAATTACCCTTCCCCTTTTCTTGGGCCAAACAAAGGTTGATGAGTCAAATAGTATCCTTACATCCATTGGCAGATTGCACCTGTACTCAAACAAAGAAATGAACCAATCCCAAATAGCTGCAGTGAAGGGATGAGAGATTAGTAAGTGGTAACGATCTTCTCCATTAGATTTGCAAAGTACACACCAGTTTGGCAATATACAAAGAAAGGTGTTCTCTTTCCGAAGTGTTTACTTTCCCATAGAACACTTCCCAGCAAAACACATTGATTTTAGGGAGGATAGGCCTGCACCAAACCTTGTTTACAAGGAAAAACTGAGGATTTAGAGACTGACAAAGGGACTTTAAAAAAAAAAAAAAGCACAAGAAAAGGAACCTTTAGGGTGGGGAAACCAAACTCATTTGTCTGGTTTAGGGGGTTCCAAAAAAACATTACCAAGAATAGACAAAAGCCCAGCCATTGGAACAGACTCATCACCCTTCAACCCTTTATGAAACCCAAAGTCCCAACTTAAACCTATAGTAAATAAAGAAGGGGTGAGGAAAGATGAAACAACATTTTTTATACAAAGAAATGGAGTACAAGGATGGGTAAACATCCTTAAGAGCACATTACCAACCCAAACATCCTCCCAGAAGCAAACAGAATTCCCTGAATGAATGGCTGCAAATTGTTAATAGTTATCAAGTCATTGCCTATATTCAAGGATTGGCTCAAAGCTTATGGATTGGGTATTAATACTACAAAAATTCAGAGATGTATGAAGATATCCTTTTGAAGCAAAGTTTTGGGAAACAATTGAATTCGGTGGGAATTCTGGTTAGCATTTCTGTAATGATGTAAAAGTTTGAGATAGCTGTTCTTTTCTTTTGTTTTGGTGATCTCTCAATACCTTCTTGTACTCATCACTACCAAAGAAAAAAACATAGGAAATCTTTTAAGGCCCCTTTCTTTTTGGGTGCACATCCATCCTCTAGGGGTTCTAACAATTCTGCTTATCACATTAACTTACAAAATAAATCTACATTACCAGTACCAAAAAAAAAAATCTCAGGTGTTCACACTATATGCTACTAGAGTTCATGCAGCTGTTCATTTATATCATTTTATTATTTCCAACTGTACAAGAGTAACATGCTTTCTAACCAGAAATCCTCTAAAAGCCTTAAATCTTTAATGTATGAGAACATGTTTACGTATCTCTACAAGCTCTCTCTCTCTCAAGGTTCCTTATCTCGTTTATATATGGTCCTCATAAGGAAATGCATTTGATGTTGTTCCACACTTGAAAACCTACCTAATAAAGATAGTCCATTACCTGAAAGGTGGTGTCAAACTCTGTTCCATGTACACAGTTCATATGCATGTTAATATTTACAAAATGACATCTTTTTTAGATTTTCTGAAGCCACCAAATCAGGCGCCTAATACCAGTGTCATAAACAGACACACATTGTAGGCAACCTTGTAAGTCATAACAAAAGCAGAGTTTAGATGGGACTTGATACAAAGTCAACTACATTTTCACAAGTAATTTCCTAGCTACCTCTTAGACAGACTCTACTCTCCACAATCAAAGATAAAATCACAATAATAGAAATGGAAGTACCATTGAAATCTCCTGAAAAGAAAATCCACAGAAAGGATAACATGATTGAAAGACAATGCACTTAATCAGGGATTGAAACAACATAGGCGCATACTTACAAAAGGAAAAAAAAAAAAAAAAAGACAAACTGGATCAAGGATAAAGCCAGTACATTTGATCAAGCTGCTTGTTAACTTCCTCCACCTCCTCCAGATCCGTAAGCAGTTGCCGTACAATTGCCCCATAGGTTAGGGTAAATAACTCTGCATTCTACACAAGATCATATTGAATCAATCTCAAGAGTCATCCCAAATCAATAAAAAAGGGAAAATTACTAGCAAGATTGCCTTATATAAAATACACACAATTAGATAAGGGAAGCCAACCAAACTTATTGCACAAATTTCTTCGTCAAAAGACTTTTACCAACTAAACTAGATCCCTTACTAACCCAAGTACCCAATCATAGTACCCTACCCTCCTGTTATCTCATGGTTAATGATAAAACATGAGGCTTTGTCACTCCTATTACAGCTTCAGCCAATGAGACTTTATCAAGACACCAAAACAACTAATATATGCTAGACAACTTCAGAACCATCCTTGCTCAGTGAAATTCCTCTTATTTCAAATATTTAACCATACACATTTTCAACCTTAGGACTGAATCTATGCAATGGGTATCTAAGAAGTTCCTATTATAATTTATTCTTCAGAATAATTTGATCTCAAAGTTCTGGTAATGAAGTATAACAGAACTTTTGCAAAGATGATGATGATAAATTGGTTTTGGGGCTGATAAACAAGATTAAAAAAAAAAGTGTAATGAACTCCAGGAATTGGAATTTCCCAGGAAGGAACAGCAGTTGAAGGCACAGAGTAGTCCGCCAATCAGAACTCTTGACAAAGTATAAGATCAATGAGATAGGAGTGGACCCGTCTTCAATTCTTTATTTTTGTTATTTTTCAGTCTACATTATTAGAATTTGGCTTGTGAATTCGTGGCAAGTTTAGGTAGCATGTCTTACAGTGCCAATCCCAAGCCCAGATAAAGGAGGGCCGTGACAGGTTGGCAGTCAATGCCAAAACCTTTAGCCAATACAATATGAGTAAGAACCCTGAGGTCTTTTTGTGCAACTGGTGTCAGGTTTGCAATAGATAATGAAAGAATTAAACTTCTCTGGAAATTCAGTTTTGGCCTTTTGGGTGAATGGGTGGTGCCGATAATCCAATTAGAAGAAAATTGGTTTATTTGTTACCTTTAACCATCACGAAAAGAAGAGAACAAGAAGGTAGTTTAGTAGGAATGAGGGTTTGGTTAGTAAAAAGACCTAGCAGCAACAACTTAACCCAGGAAGACTCGTGCAAGAAGTTCAGCCTGCCTCCCTCATGATGGTTTCTTCATATATAGATTAGGATTTGTTACCACACGCTCGACATTGGCAAAGACTGCATCTCCGGTTCTTGGAGCTGGGGGAGCCATGGAAGTGAAAATCTCCTCTGTCAAGCCAAAAAAAAAAGAGCTTTGTAAAAATAACGATTCTGTATAGCAATAATTTATTAAAGAAAAGAAAAGAAAGCTAGGCTTCATTTCCTTAGTCCTTACATTGTTTCTCTAAAGGGAATGATAAAATTGCACCAAGAAACAGAATCAGCCTCTACTGGATAAATAGAAATGATAAGAGAAAAAAGGCCTTTACAGACATAGAAACTACAAAACCCCTCTCACTTCCTCATTTTGTTGACAGTAATGGTACTTAATCTTTATTAAGATAATAAATAAACCCCCCCTTTCCCCATGGATAGGGGCATGGGAACCAGTACAACAGAACAGCCCAAATCTGAATAATTATATATCAAATACCAAAAAAAATAATTATTATATTATATTATCACCTTTACACTTTGTTAATAATTACCCCCCCCCCATTCAACTCAGTTCCTGTAATCCCTATCACTTGCTAAAGAATTAGCAAGAAAAATAACAGATTCAGGGATCCACTTGAAGAAGCAGTTCACATTGGCTGCCAAGCCTTAGCCTCTCTAATCAAACCTCTATGCCTTTCTTCTCCATTTTAAGCAAAGGAATCAGTTAAAAAGTTTACTCCCTTGGAATCCATAAAAAAGATACCAAGACCCCCTTACCGAAAATATAGTCTCCTTGTTATGAAACGCCAGTCTCGATGACCCAATAGCTTCTCCTTTGGTCAATTTGATGGCATTACTAGAACCACCTTTATCTAAGAGAGAGCTAATGCCGTTTACCTTTTCCATCCTAAGAACACATAGAAACTCTTAGTTCAGCTTTACTGGAATTTTCTTTTTATCTGACAAAAATCCTAGAGTTCATTTTTCGTCTATCGTCCTCATGTTTATGGTGAAGAGAAAATGCCATGGAAAAATAATTTAATTTTTATTTCTTGCATACAATTTGGATGAGAAGAAATTAAGGAAAAAAAAAATAGAAATTTTATTTAAAACTTAAGTGCTACAGAAGAAAACTAACATGTACGATCAGAACACCAAACAATTTTATTCAAAGCAATATCCAGTGTCAACATCAGAACACCAAACAATTCCATCATTAACAATTCAAACAGTTATCCACCATTTCCAAACATAACATGTACGATCTACAGAAGAAAATATGCAGAAAAAAAAAAGAGAGAAAGAGAAAACTAAAGAAAGCATACACCGAAACCAGTGAATCGAGCTCCCAAACGGATCAAAGCAAATATAGGTGCTCAGCAAATTCGTTGCTCTCTCCTGTAAAATGCAAACCAGTAAACCAGAGAAATCGAGAGCGAGCGAGCGAGAAAGAGAGTGGGTAGGGGTGACGGGGAGACGAAGGTCGACGTTTGAAGCCTGAAGGTAGGGAGTAAACCGTAAAGTTCACGGAGCACCCGGTCACAAGTTCTAATCCGTTTGGTTATCCATGATGACTCAAGACACCCGTGGTGTAGTCACCAAAGGGAGGGCAAAAACGAAGATAAAAAATTCAAAACCGTTGATCAGAAAGATCAGCCCCAAATTTCCCTTATTTTCAGAATAATCCATTTCTTCCGTTAGCCACGTGTCATCATTGACGTCCGTACCGCGGATTAAACTAAAAAAGTGGCATATTCGAATTTTATATCTGTGCCAAAACCGGATCTGCTCTTCACACGTAGCGCCTCACAGGTGCCTCACATGCACATCCTACCATCTATTGGAAATATTTCTCATACTTCTTAATTATTATTCACAARAAATATTTCTTAATTATTATTCACACGGGAGATGATCCTAATGCACGATCGATATGCATGTGAGGCGCCCATTTATGAGGAGGAGATACCGTCTCATCTGTGCCGCACAGGAGATATTCTCAATACAAGGTGAGAATGTGCTGTGAGCACTGTGGGGCGCCCCTTTGTTAGGCGCAGATACTTTACAATTGTGATCTACTACGTAGCCTTATACTGTGATCTAATCATGACACTTCATGTTACTAATACTACACATAATCCAGATTCACTCCCCACATAACACGAGATGCTTCTAATTCGTATAACGGTGAAATTTGGGCGGCCCAACCTGAACCAGTCGGATCCACCCCCATATTTTTACACGACTTGGCTTGAAATTTCAATCTTCGGGGTCCAAAATTTTATATTTTTAATTTTTTGGGTTTAGCTCGGGTCTGACCTTTAGGTATAAAGTACAAACCCAGTCCATCTTTTTCTAACTCCAACCTAGTCCAAACATATACATATGGCCTGGGTTATTCATGAAAAATGGAGGTGTAAATCAGATCGTGACACCCATGGCCCAACATGATTTTGAGCTGGCTCAGTTAGATGGTCCACGGGTTGGGTCACAGTACAGTATCATTGTATGTGTCATGCCGAGCTTGGGGTTTCAAGTCAGTGGGCCAAGCCAGCATGGCCCGCATTGTTGTGTCATATCGTGGCCCATAGGCTGGCCCAGCCCAACATATATATAAAATAAACAATTGTTTTCAATTTTATTATACTATTTTATTTAATTATTATATATATAAGCAATTGTATACATCAAAATTCATATAAAATTAGAATTTTAAGTTTTTTTCAATTTTTTTAAATAAATAGCTTTGGCCCAATCTATGGCCCGGCCTGACCCAAGGCTCAGCCCATGGATCAATCCAACCTAACCCAATACGAGCCCGTATGGACTCAGGCCATGAGCCATATTAGACCGACCCCTCAAAATATCTCAAGAAAAGAAGGCACGGCCCAACCCGCGCTTTTGCAGGGGCCACATAAAGGCATGCCATACCAACCRAGCATGGCCCATTTTACACCTCTTCAAAAAAATTCAATACCCAATAATATGTATTTTTATGCATTTTATTACAATTTTCATGCTAGTACGAACCTTGTTTCTATAGTAGAACACATCAGCCCTCCAAAATAAAATGCTTCAAGCTTTGAATCTGGCGGAGCTTTCTACCCTCAGTCTGAAATCTTTGGACCTCTTCGTGAAGAAACTCATGGGGTGGGTTCCCATTTGCTTGGGAGAAAAACTTCAAGTCTTCAAATTTGGTCTCCCTAGAAATCCCGACACTAAGCTGAATAAGCTTGGCGTAGCCAAGAATATTGACAATCCGTACAGCCACCAATCAGCAATAAACATTGAAAGATGCAAGGTGCCAAGTAATGAAGGTTTCGGTGTTGTACACGTTTGATGTATCCCCAACTCAAATTACCCAAAACAACCTTTTAACAATTTGAGTGTAAGAGTATTGTTGGGCTACCATCCTTCAGCGCATGGCAGCCAATGCTCCATGACCATCAGCTTAGGCTACTTATCTCCCACCTAGGAGTGCAATTCAGGTGGGTTGGGTCAGGTTGAAGGACAAACTGAGCCGAACCTTAAAGGTGTAAACCTCAGGCTCGGGCCTGGTCCAGCATGAGGTTAAGCCCAAGTTTATCAATTTAGTTCCAATTAATGTTTAATCTAACATAATTCGAGTTGGGTTTGGGTTCAAGATGGGTCAGGTTGGATTAATTTTGGACGAATTCATTGAAAATATGTACAAATTTCAATTATAAAATGTTATACATACATGCTTTAAACATTTAACATATAGACATGTACTCATAATTAGAAAAAAAAAAGATATCTTAATATAAATATAATATACATGTGTATATATTTGTTCGTGCGGGCCCAAGTTGAGTAGGGCCTGGGTTGGGTCAGGCTTGGGCTACTTGAAGCCTCAACCCAAGCCTAATCCTACTTTAGGTTAGGCCCGAGTTTTTTTGGCCTAGGCCTAGCTTGTAACCCAAAAACTTAAGCCTAAGTGCCTAATTCATGCAAAAATTTGAATTGGGCCAGTTAGGCTCAGGTTGGATCCACCCAAGTTGCACCCCTACTCCAAAGATCACATCAATGCCCCACATGCACATCTTAGCGTGCATTGAGAATATCCCTTATACTTGTCATTGGGATATATTACCAATGTTTTCGAATCGTGAACCGTCGTTGACCTGGATGGTCGGACCGTTCGGCTCGGAAATCGTCAAAGCAACCGGTTCCATTTTTGCATAAATCCGGAATCTGGTAAAAAACCGTTGAAAAAATCAATAAAACGTTGACCTGGGTGGTTGAACCATTGAACCGTCGACCCATTCAACGGTTTTYAAYGTTTTTTATTTTTAAAATTTTTCTATCAAAACAAACCATCCATTCAAACYGGATGGTCAGACCATTAACYTAAAAACCGATGACTAAAACAGTTCCATTTCCGGATAGTTTTTTAAAACATTGCATATTACCAATACACGATAGGGATGTATTGTGGGCACACAGGGCATGCCCCATGGGGTGTCGATGTGAACTCCCTACTCCAATCATGTCCCTCAAATTCTTAGGCCACGGTTGCCTRGCATGTATAACTATGAGCATATGTCTTATGGTTAGAAGGGCCCACAGATAAACACCTCCATCATATCATTACCACTGATTGTCCATGAAATGGACTCTATTCCTCTAATATAGAGCATCTAACGGCATGCAGCTAGCAAGAAAGAGTTCACATCTGTGCCCTATAGGGCATACCTCACAGCGCGTGTATTGGTAACATCTCCCAATACACGTTGAGATTGTGCAATTCTGAATAATTAAAAGTGCAAAAGAAAGTAGTTTCAAACACAACCGCCGGCCATTAGAGCTTCAAGGTCGATAAAGCAGAGATTACGGTGGGGAGAAGAGCACGTACTACTACTACTAATTGTACTTCACATCCATATTTTTCACCTTCCAAGATCTATATTGTCCTTTGAAATTCAACCCTCTCAATTCTCACACATTTATTTTCATAACTTTTAGAAGGTGTACCGTGATAGTTCCGCCTCTTAAAACTCTTGCCATGATACATTTTTTGGAAAGACTCCTCCTTTTCATATGGGTGAATGTGGCTTTAACCTCCACGTAACTTCCCCAAATTTGTAAGAAAGCTTTTCTTTGAAACTAGGCATGACCCTTCGTACTAAGTATGGGCTAGTATTCTAAGATACTTTTTTACTCATATATGCTTATTATTTTTGTTTAACACCCATTTTTTGTTATTTAATTTAAGAGATTAAATTAAGTTTTATTTTTATAGAGATGAACATTTTTAGAGTGATTTGAATTCTATTTAACTATGATTCGTTTGTTTGAAAATAACATGGTTTTCAAAACCGGATTGGATCGGACCGGATGGTCGGATTGGAAAAACCGGGAACCGGTTCCATTTTCCCCCAAACCACTTTTTTCCTCACCATTGATTTTGATCAGAAAACCGTTGAATCGGCCGGTTAACTGTTCAAACAGTTTTGACCAATTTTCGATTTTTTTTATTTTTTTGTTAGAATAGGTTGGCCATTCGGGTCGAATGGTTGGACCGTTCGAACCGGTAACCAGACCCCTGACCGGTTCAGTTTTAAAAACTATGGAAAATAACATGGCATTTAAAAAACACAAAATGAGAAAATGAGAAAAAATAAAGACTTGCTTGTTTGTGTGTRTGTGTGTGAATATACACACAAATATTTGAATTCAAACCTCTCAACTCTCCCACGTTTCTTTTCATAAATTTTAGAAGAGGGTGGACCGTGATGGTTCCGTAGACTCTTGGCATGATACATTTTGGAAAGACTCATTTTCATATGGGCGAACATGGTTTTAACCTCCATGTAACTAGCCCCAAATTTTCAAGAAATCTTTTCTTAGGCCCAAGCCTAACCCTGAATTTCTAGGCTTAAGCAGGCCCAGGCCCAGGCCCAAGCAGGGCTTGCATACAAAATCTAGGCCTAGGCCTAGAAATTTGTAAGCTCCCGAGCCAAGAATTATCATCCCTACATACATGCATATGTATATATATAAATATCATTATTTTAGTGTGGGATGATTGACCAACCTAAGCCTAGTCAGGGCTCAAGTGCATCAAATTTTAGTATAGATTGGGCTCGGGTTGGATAATTTAGGTGGTGAAATAGGAGGCAAGGTTACGTGGAAAAAGGGTAAGAGCCTGATGACGTCACAAAATGAGGGGCTTGGGTAGGGTGAAGGGAAATTTGTATTCGACTTGACTTGTTGTGTTTATTTTTCATTATTTTAAAATTGATTTTAAATTTATTTTGAACTAATAATTTTTACTTTTATTAAATTTTAATTTATTTAGTAAATTGTTATTGATGTATAATTTAAGTTTTCATATTTTGCTAAATTTATTACTATTTAAAATTTTAATAATGTTAGAATTTGTTATTATAAATTAAGTATAATATTATTGTAATTAATTTTAATAATAATAAAAATAGTAATTTGTTTTGAATTTTCTATTATTTTAATCATTTCTCAATGGAGATTAAATTTTGTTACTTTATAATTATAAAATTATTATAATTAATTATTTCATTTTTAATGACA